TGAATATTAGATCTAGTTGAACAAGACACCCTCTAAACTTCTTAAGGGAAGAACACCCAACCTCTCACATCTATGTCTTTTGATGTAAAGTGTTCATTCCTAAATCTGATGAGGGAATTTTTTCTAATATATTCCTGAGTTAGGAAATCCTAGTATTTTTAACAATAGAATATTGGTTTTGTTCAGGAGACTACACATGTAGTTTTTGATGAATCTGATGTTTCAAGAGAGTTTACGTTGGCAGAAGAGCATTTTGAAGAGATCGCTAACTAATTGAAAATATAAATCTTAAGGAAAATATTGAAATGGAAAATATATTACCTAGAAAATGGAAAAATTCTAAGAGACATCCTAAAGAATAGATTTTAGGAGACCCGAGTGAAGGAGTTAGAACTAGGCATGGACTTAAAAAAGAAGTTAAACACTTAGCATTTTTTTTTTATGATTGAACCCACTAATACAAATCAAGTACTTAGATAAGAAAAGACTTATGGCTAAAGGGTATAATCAAATAGAATGAATTGATTTTGAGGAGACTTTTTCCCCTGTAGCAAGACTTAATGCAATTAGGGTTCTTTTAAGTTTTGCCTATTTTAAAGGATTTAAACTATTTGAAATGGATGTTAAGAGTGCCTATCTTAATGGGTGGATACAAGAGGAAATTTATGTTAAGTAACCTCCAGGTTTTGAAAATTCACAATTCCCTAATCATGTGTTTAAATTGAAAAAGACATTATATAGACTAAAATTGGTACCTAGGGCAAGATAAGAAAAACTAAGCACATTTTCTTTTCTTATTAAAAAAAAAAAAACTAAGCACTTTCATACTAAAAAAATCATTTATTAAAGGGATTGTGGACACCACTCTCTTTTTAAAAAGAGTAGGAGATGTCATTCTCATTGTCCAAATATATATTGATGATATCTTGTTTGGATCCTCTAATAAAAATCTTATGTGATAATTTTTCAAAAAATAATGAGTAATGAATTTGAAATGTGTTTGATGGGAGACTTGAGTTACTTTCTTAGTTTTAGCGTAAAATAGAAAGTGGATTACACAATTCTTACTCAATCAAAACATATTAAAAAGATTCTTTAAAAGTATGAAATGGATAAAGCTAAACCAATTAGTACATCAATGATTTCCTCATTTCAATTATATAAGGAAACTAAAAGAAAATCTATTAATTAAAAGAAATTTTAAGGGAAATTGAATTATTACTTAATTTAATTGCTAGTATATCATATTTAGTGTTTGTCTTTGTGCTATATTTTAAGCTAATCTATAAGAAATCCATTTGATTGCTGTTAAAAGAATTCTAAGATATCTTTTAGGAACTAAGGAACTAAAAACTTAGGAAATTGGTATCCTAAACATAGCTCTTATTTTGAAATCATTGGATATTTTGATTCATATTTTGTCAAATTTAGGGTTTATAGAAAGTGTACTTCTGGAACTTATTAATTCATTGGAAACTCTATAATTTCCTGGTCTAACAGAAAATAGAATTCAGTAGCCCTTTCATTTATTAAAGCAGAATACATAGTCTTAAGAAGTTGTGTGGCATAAGTTCTCTAGTTAAAATAATAACTTACATATTTAAGGTTTTCAATTGATACTATTTGAATGTTCATTAGAGATGTTAAGCCCCTATGAACTAGCCTGAGGCTAACCAAGAGGGGGGTGAATTGGTGTTTTAAAAATTTCACAAAAAAACCACAATCATAACACAAAAATAACTATAAAAATAAAGTGCATAAATTAAATATGAAAAATTCAATAAGAAAGAACACACCAAAGTTTATAGTGGTTCAGTCAACTTTACCTATATCCACTCCCCAAAGCCTCTTCTCTGGGTATTGCACAAAACTCAGGGTCTTTTCTTTTGCTCCCATAGTAAGGTAGAGAATGAAAGTTCATTAGGGATGTTAAGCCCTATGAACTAGTCCCGAGGCTAACCAAGAGTGGGGGTGAATTGGTATTTTAAAAAATTCTTTAAACATAAGAACAAATATCACAAACCAAAGTCACCATAGAAAAATAAGTGCAGAAAATTAAAGTGCGGATGTAATAAAGGAAAGAACATACCAAATTTATAGTGGTTAGATCAACTTGATTTACGTCTACTCCCTAGAGGCGCCCTCCGAGTATTGCACTACCAACATGACTCTCCTTTAGCCCCCACAGCTAGGCGGAGAAGCCCTTACAAAATACCTCCTTTTTGCCACCCCCGGCAAGGTAGAGAACCCTACTTCTTTTGCCTCCTCCTAAAGCAGGCAGAGAACCTCGATCAATCGTTGAAGCTTACCTCTCCCAACCCTTCCAAGGATAAGAGACTCTAGGGAAGAAGAAGTGGAATAATGCTTGGATCAACCCTTGTGAACTCCCTCACAAGATCCTCTCTCTCTCTCCCTCTCTCTCTCTCCTTTAGGTAATCTCAGGTCAAGACAGCAACCAAGGATGTTCAAAAATGTTGAACAATAGCTCTTAAATAGAAGATCTTCAAAGGAGCTCAATAAATGCAAGTTGTCGACTTTATCATCCAGGATGATAATAATATCGTCCTGTACAATCATTTCAAAACACATATGATCGGCCAGAACACCGCTCTGAAAATGAACTGGATGATTGAAAATTGGATTGATCGTCCCTGCAGATCTCACGATCGTCCTGGATGATCAGTTCAAATCAGAGGAAAATCATCCAGAGTATTTCCCTGAATTCGAGCTGTCTGATCCTGATCAGCCAAAACTTCACCCTGAATTTGTGCTGGCCGATATTTATTGTCAAGGGGCAACTAAGGGTTTTTGAATAGATCGTCCAGGCCGTCCGTGTGATCATCCTGGATGATGTGATCGTATCAATCATCCTTAATTGCTTCCTTGATTCCTGGATCATTTTAGGTATAATTTGTGTAATATCGTCCAGGCCGATCTCTCGATCGTCCGGGATGATTTCCAAATATACAGAATACCTAAATTAATCATGGAGGCTATTTCTTTCTATTTTGAGCATATCGTTCTGGCCGATAAATTTATCATCCAGGATGATCAATTAATTACGACTGCCTTAAATAAAAAATCCTAATTAGAACTTCTATTTTGAACTCTATCGTCCAGGCCGATATAAATATCATCCGAGACTATGTGAGTAAAAATAGAAATTATGAATCTCTCAAGTGTTTGTGTGTAGGGTTACTTAACATCAGTCACTTTAAACATTTACAATTGACTCAAGAAAGGGAAAAAAGATAATTATAAACTGACTCAACCCTAATCTACCCAGTCTTAAGCTAATTCTGATTTCCATCCGATCTTTGAATCCTGAATATGTCAGTAGTAAAAGGTAGTCAAAATGTTTGCTAACATCAAAATCGCAATCCATGAAGCCAAGTTTACAACACAGAAGTCAATACAAAAACTCCTTTCCATCAACCTCAGTGAGACAGAGAACCTAACTCCTTTCACTTCCTCCTGAAATAGATAGAGAACCCAACTCCTTTCGCTTCCTCCTGAAGCAGGAAGAGAACCTTGATCAATTGTTGAAATAGACCTCTCTAGAACCTCCAAGGAACTAGGAGTGATGACCAGAGAAGATGACTTGGATCCTTTCTTGGAGCAACCTTTGTTAAACCCCTCTAAAACTCCCCCTCATAAGATCCTCTCTCTCTCCCTCCCTTTTTCTCCCTCTCCTCTAGGTTCTCTCAGGTCAGGATAGTAGGAAAAGATATAATCTTGGATAAAAAAATTGATCTTATGGATCAGAAATGTTAATTGGCAAGTTAGCCGTAGAAAAATAGAGGTGTCACAAATATTTGTTATCATCAAAATTTTATTTCTTGAATCTAGATTTGCAATAATCTCCCCCTTTTTAATGATGGCAAACATTTAATAGAAAAATTAATTTAAGGAGTTTCATTGAAACATCATAAGAAAAAATAATGTAAATCAAGAAGTTTGAATTTTACTAAAAATAAACATATGGTACAAACACTAAATAGAAAATAGTATAATGAAACAACATAAAACACTTCCACTACTCCCAATTTTAACATCACAAAAAAGTAGAGAACTAAAAAACATAGAATAAAAACTAAAAATAAGAAACAAAATACATCACAGAAAAATGACACAAGGAAAACAAACTACAAGTATGATGGGCCCTCATCATTAAAAGGAGGTGGTCGTGGCGGCTAAAAGAAGCTAGAAAAAGTAGTGAACTGCTCCCCAAACTAGGACATGTCTTGGTCATGCTATTGCTACTGGTGAGCAACGTATGAATCAAATCGAGCAACATCTTCCTTATGGTACTTCTCTTGTGTAGCAACATAAGAGTCGAATCGAACCTCGCATTGGTCGAACCACTCCACCAACTTATCCAGCTGTGAGTGTTGGAGGAGCAGAGCAGGTATAAGAACAAGTGAAGGAGCTACTTCCTTCTCAGCTCGCTCATCTTCCTCTTGCTCTAGGTGGAGACAAGTACTGTAAAGAATGTGGAAAGAGCTATTAGTGTAGAAGGCAGGCTGAAAGTTAGATAGGGCGGGATATTTAAGGTTGTACTTTGATTCCAGGATATAGGATATGATATGTCCTAAGGTAAGGTTAGGTTTGTTTCTGTGTCTTGGATCCCTAATGCTAGTGAGGTACTCAATGTAGCAGAAAAAAAGATTAGTAGCTTTGAATTCTCTATGGGCCATGTTGTAGAATGTGGTGATTAAAAGGAGAGGAGTGATGTGGACATGATCACCAGTTTTAGGAATAATAGAGGTATGAAGCACATGTTAGATTATCCTAGCATCCTTGACTAAGGTGCTGGATGCCCCATCATGATAGGAGACAAAAGTGTTTCATAAAAGGTGATTGGCTTGAGCCCAGTCAAAATCAGGATCTTAAGATAATATGTGAAGCTTGTCTCTAGTGGTGGACAATTAAAGGAGCTCATGACAGTCTTGATAAGTGATTTCAACAGGACATTTATTGACATAGGATTTAAGTGCAGTATGGGAAGAGTTGATCCGAAGGCTTGCAAAAAATTCAAAGAGCAATTCAGAGTTGAAGGGAAGGCGAGGGTAAGGATGAATGTGAGAGAAGTGTGTGTAAAAAAATTGAGGATAGGAGAAGTAAGTGTATGTGGATTAATTATTAGGGGTAAAGTGATCTCAGTTGTCTTGTAGTGCAGGTAAGCGGCTGGGTCAGCCGCCTTAGTGAAAAGAGGGTCAATGTTTTCCCTTAAAGAGCTTCCAGCCGGCAATCTAGATCGCTTGCCATCCACCATTGAAAAAGAATTTGAAAGCTTGAGGGAGAGGAATGAAGAAATGGAAGATTTGAGGTAAGAAAACCCATTGAAAGCTATTCTTTATAAAGAAACGGATTGATCATCCTGGACAATTGCAAGATCATCCAGGACGATCAAGTGAAATTATTACATCCGGGATGATTGGTCAAAAAGGCAGTTATATTCTCCAGGATGATTAGACATCATCTAGAATGATTAGACATAGGTGATCATCCCGAGGAATCATGATGGACTACCATTGAAAAGTAGATCATCCAAGACAATTAGGTGGATCATCTAGGATGATCGATAATAATGGATCGTACCAGTCTATTTTAAAATGTGTAATAGCTTTGCCATGTGGATCATCCAGGATGAATAGGTGGATTGTCTAGGATGATCATCAATAATTGAGCAAAATTTTAGAGGATCATCCAATCTGATCACAAATAATTAAAGCAAAATACGATCAGATCATTTGGGATGATAATGGATCGTCTACGATGATCTTAAAAAAAAGATTCATATTAGCTATCAGATGGAAGATTAAGAGTGGATTGAATATATCATCTAGGGCGATGTAGCCAAAACTTAAAATTTTGTGCATTGATGGATATGATCTAGACCCAAAAATAAGAAAAAATAATAGAAAAAGAGAAAAATAAAATAATAAAAAACACAATAAAAATGATAAAAGGAATGAAAAATAAAAGGTTTTTTTATCATAACACGAATATGATAAATTTTTCATGTGATTGAATTAAAAATTTATAAGAATCAATTAGTTAACATCATTAAAATCTAAAAAATGGTAGACCAATCGATCTTGTTAGACCTAGCTCAAACTTCTCACAGGGCAAACCATCTTTTAAAATCAAAGTTCTAACTTAGAAAAATCAATTGGATAAGAGAAATAGATTTGTTCAAAACTTGGTTCTTGAAAAATATCTTATAGAATAATATACCAAAATAATTAGTCATAATCATGAATTTCGAACACAAGCCCTTGAAAATATTAGTGGCACATGAATTATTCTAAGATTTAAAGGTTTGAAAGGGAAAGAAGCTTGATTTTTATGGGCTCATTTTACGCTCTTTGTCAATTGACTGGCACACTTTGCGCATTTTTTTTATTTTTGATACACTTTTTGTATCTTTCATTTTTTTTGGCAGCCATTGCACATTTTTTCAATTTTTCTTCTTTTTAGGCTTATTTTATGCCCTTACATTTTTGCAAGCAAGAACCTTTTCAAAACTTTTAAATACTCTTAGTTTTGAGAATATCTTCCATATATCATAAAATAAAAACTCACTCTTTAATATAAGGAAGAGTAAACCACGAAGTAGAATAAAATTCTTATGATAAATGTAACGACAAGATTACGAAAGCTTGAAAGTGATTTAATAACTTTAAACATTACTTATACAACAATAACATCATCATCAAGCTTTTATCCTGTTGTAAATATGTTGCTCATGGATTATGATTTTGATTCTAGCAAACACTCTTGTTTTTCTATGACTGCCTTTTCTACTGACATTTCAGGGCCATAAGATCAGACGGAAATTGGAACCAGCTCAAAATTGGGTAAACTATGTCTGATTCAGTCTGTAATTTTCATTTTCCCTGAGTCAATTGTAACCATTGAAGTGGTCTGATGCTATGTAACCCTACACACACACACTTGAGTGATTTTCTTTGTCTAACTTAGAATTTCTATTTTTACTCACATCATCCCGGACGATATTATTATCATCCTGGACGATAGGGTTCAAAATAGAAACCCTAATCAGTCATCTTAGTTAAGTCAGTCATCATTAGCCAATCGGCCTGGACAATATATGTATCGGCCAGGACGATAGGCATAAAATAGAAAGAATCAGTCGCCATGATTTATTTAGGCATTCTTTATTTTTGGCAATCAGCCAGGATAATATTGTATCATCCTGGACAATTTCATACAATTATGCTTAAATTAATCTGGTATTTAAGGAAAGCAGTTAAGGATGATTAATATGATCATATCATCCTGTACGATCGTATGCAAGATCGGCCGGGATGATCAGTTCAAAAAACTTAGTTGCACCTGGATGATAAATATCAGACAGCTCAAATTGCGGGCGATGGTCTGGCCGATCAAGATCGACCAGCTCAAATTCTAAGCAATTCTCTGGACAATTTTCCTCTGATTTGAACTAATCATCCAGGATGATCGTGAGAACGGCCTGGACGATCAAGCTATTTTGGAATCATCCAGAACTCGTTTCAGAGCGATTTTCTGGCCGATAGTCTATGATTTGAACTAATCATATAGGATGATTCATGATCATCCTGGATGATAGGAACAACTTTCTTCTGTTCATCCCAGATTGTCCCGGCTGATTAGGTTCAAATTGTGCTGATCGTACAGGATGATATTACTATCGTCATGGACAATAATGTCAGCAACTTGCAATTAATGAGCTATTTTGAAGTTATTCTATTTAAGGGCTATTGTTCAACATTTTGAACGATCTTTTACTGTTGTCTTCACCTGAGAAAGCCTAGAGGAGAAAGAGAGAGAGAGAGAGAGAGAGAGAGAGAGAGCTATGAGTTGTTAAGAGAGTTGCTATTTGCATATGTTACAATCTTACAACTTGTATAGTTTTGATGATTTCAAATATTATTTTTTTATGTATAATTATTTCTTAACACTTTTTGGAAGAATTATTTTTGCTCTTGTGTGTACTAACATTTCAGGAAAATTGAACTCCAAACTATGAATACTTCAAATCAAATTCAGCATACAATTCTTCGCAAATTGAAGCTTTAAATCGTTCTTTGAATTGAGAGGGAGTGATTGTAATTGAGTGAATAAAAACACACACACACACTTACTTAAAGAGATCTTACAAATTTGTACTGATCGTACGGGACGAACATAGTTCGTACGGGACGATCAGTCAGTTTTTCTCCCTGTAATAGCAATGGAACAAACAGAAGTTGGAGGAAATTTTTCTAAGTCCTGGTCGTCTAGGACGAAATTATTTTCATCCCAGGACGAAATAGACTCTGTAAAAATTTCATCCATATGAAATCTATAATCGTGCCAGGATGATTTCTTCTCTGTAAAATTTTGTCCAGATGAAATCCAAATTATCCTAGGACGAATTCTTCTCTGTAAAAATCTCGTTCAGACGAAGTTCATTATCGTTTCAGGACGAGCTACTCTCTGTAATAATTTTTCCCTGACGAAGTCCTATTCGTCTCAGGACGATGTGAACCGACTTACCAAAATTGGTTACGTCCATACAGTTATTTGGGAACTGACCTATGGTATAACGGATCATACCTGATGAACCTAGCTCGTACGAGATGATGATCGTGTACGAACATAGTTTGTACCAATATTCATTAGGATCATTTCCGACATTTTAAATAAAATTGCCAGGATGATCCACGATCGTACGGTACGATTCATTTCGTGTTAACTTGAAAAATTTTCAGTTTTGGACGGTTTTTCTTGTCTCTCTTATATATAGTCCAATTTAGACTGCCACCCAATCTTTTTGCTCATTGATCTTCTAGCCTATTGAAAGAAGAGTCAAGGAGAGAGTGTGAGAGAGCATTCAAAGGAGAATTCCAACCATTGGAGCGTGAAGGCTTCACTTTGTATTCAAACGTAAGAATCTCTACTTTTGATTTAGGATTACTTCACTCTTTTCTTTCTTTCTTCTAGATTTCTTGTGAGGAGATCTGTCAAGGAGATCCAGTTCTCTACCGACACTTGGAAAGTATAAACAGACGGAGGGTTCTCTACCCACATTAGGAGAGTGTGAATAGCCGAAGGGTTCTCTACACACATTGGGGATAGGGTAAAAGGATGAAGGGTTCTCTGCCCACAATGGGGATAGTGTAAAAGGATGAAGGTTCTCTGCCAACACTGGGGATAGTGTAAAATGATGATGGTTCTCTGCCGCACTGGGTAGTGGTGGAAAGAGTGTTTGTAAAGGCTTCTCTACCATGCTGTGGGTGCAAAAAGAGAGACACTATTGGTATTAGTGCAATACTCGGAGGGTGCCTCCGGGGAGTGGATGTAGGTCTGGTTTATACTGACCCACTATAAATTTTGTGTCTTTTATTTTTACTGCTTTTTATTTTCCGCATTTTGTTTAGTTATAAAAATTGTGGTTGAAAAACTTTTTCTTAAAATTCATTAAAGTTTATTTTTAATTCAACATACTCAAGAGGGATAATTTTAAAAAAAAAATACCAATTCACCCCTCCTCTTGGATAGCCTTGGGACATAAGTTTAGGTTTAACAACCTAATTCATAGTGAATGAATCTCAACAAGTGGTATCAGAGATTTGTTTCAAAATCATAAGTTTAGACTAATTTTTGATTAACATAAATGGCTACATTTGGAAACCGAAATACACCTGAGGGTTACTCTATTACTAGACCTCCACTGTTTGACAATATACCTTTTGAGTTTTGGAAATCATGCATGTCTACTTTCTTACAATCACTTGATTATCATATATGGATCTTAGTCCAGGAAGGATATACAAAACAAACTAGATTAGTTGATGGAGTTAGAGTTGAAACACCTTTTGCAGACTGGACAGTAGAAGAACATGACTTAGCACAACTAAACGCCAAATGCTTGAATAGTTTCTTTTGTGCTTTAAAATTAGAAGAGTACATGCAGGTTTCCACTTGCAAAAGTGGAAAGGACATATGTGATAGACTTTATATAATATATATGGGGACTAATGAGGTTAAACAATCTAGACTCAATATCTTATTATAT